TCTCAAGTGCTCAGCTGGTTTGTAAGCAAAAGCAGAATTTCAGTTCATATTTGCATACTTGTGAAACATTAGATTGTAGGATAATCACTATTAGGATATACACATAATTAGCCTAAACAAACTTGAGGCCAGAAACCGGCTCAACCAGCAGAGCTGCAGCTTTTGACAGGAAAGATCTGTCATTCCTCCAGTTGGCATTTTCAAAAGAGGTTTTATTTGGCTGTGTGCATTTGGTCTCTTTAACAGAAGAGGCAATACCGTGCTGTGTGACTGATGGTACTATTCTGTTAATTGATTTATATAATGCCTTATTTTATGTGCCAGGGTTAGGAATGATGAAATGCTGCTCTTTGAATAAAGCCACAGAATGCATGACTTGTTGTTTGCCTCTTTTGAGTATTGATCTGTGCATTAATTACACACATTGATAAATATTTAAACTACTGTCCTTGTTACTTTGTGTTCATGCAGAACATACGTGAACCACCACAGCCAAACAATGAGAGGCACCCTTAAGAGAAAGTTTGCAGAGGTAGATCCTTGCTACCTCTCCTCCTCTCCTTCGTCCTCCCTCTCCTCCCCCACCTCCACAGAGTGGGAATCCGACGGGGAGAGCAGCTCCTCTGACAACCAGGATTTCACCCCACACAGCCCTTCTTCACCCTCCAGTTTACCCAGTAAGTCTCCAAACCAGCAACCACTGTTTTCTTTACCCTCCTCTTTCAAATAATGTAAACCTCTTCCTTATCTGCAGTTTTATAGGAGTGTCTCTTATCACCATGCAGCAGCACTGTCATGACTTGCTGATATGAAAACTCTAAACTTCATGATAATGCACCACAAATGACTCGCCTCTGGACTTCTGTCCATTTGTTTGGAAGACCATTTGCCTGAGCAATAGCACATTGTGAAAACAATTTGAATAGCAAGGTTCCTTTAAACAAGTCATATCAAATGGTCTTTTTCAGCTATTGCGCAGGGCTTGAAATTACCAAATAATCTGCAGGTATTTTTGCACAAGCTAAAACCGTATGAATTACAGTGTCAGGCTCCTATTGTTGTCTGCTACAATTGAAGCAAACAGTGCCCCAGTGTGGAGCTTATTAGACTGACAGAGCAGCTGTGATGAGCTTGGTCAGCTGGTCTCTGTTTACTGACTTTTGGAACTAGAGTTCAGCCTCAGTTATGCGTGAAGGTCAGGCAATTTGTTGAAGGCAAACAGTCAAACCAAACAGAAACCTGATAGATATGAAATACTAAAGTGGCAGAAAGAGTCTAATTACATTCTGGTAAAGCTCCAAAGAACAACATGTAGACACTGATTCACGTATTTTCTCTCTCTGCTGTTGATCTGTCCAATAAAATCATTTCTTGGTATTTCCTGTCCACATGTACAGCATGTTCAACTGCTGACCCAAGCCACTGTAGTGAAGCACCTGTAGTGTGTCACCTAGTGGCCACCTAGAGACTTACAGGAGACAAAGCCCGTGGCAAAGTTCAGGGCCTGTATTTATCTCTTCTAGCACTTGTGCTGAAAGTATACTTAGGACTAAAAACAGGGTAGTCCCACAGTGTAAGACTTAGAAGTTGCTTATGAAGCATCTTACACTGGCCTTCAGACAGGAAGTAAGAATGAAAATCTCCCTGAATCTGATCAGTGAAGATGAACACATCAAATACTAAAACTTAATATTAGATTTTGCCTGCTATTAATTTGTCAATTATGATTGTGATTGTGTTCAAGTAACAGTTTGAGTCCACTGTCATTGTTAAGGACCCTTGAGCCATGTGCAATAGATGTTTTGTGAGTTTGATTTATTACTGCACAAGCTGTTGTTCTGACAACCATGTCCTAGAGCTATTATATATATATATAATCCCAGACAGAAGTAATTTCTGAGGTTGAAAAAGCTGATAAAATAGTTTTACTCATAGTCCCTAAAATAGGATCAAAATCCCTGAGGCTAGGATCCGGCACTGTCACCGCTGCAGCCCTGGTTTGATTCTCGGTCGGGGAACCTCCAGCCACAGGGGTTTCACGCCAGTGACTTCTGTGCTGGTCCCAAGCCCAGATAAATAGAGAGGGTTGCGTCAGGAAGGGCATCCGGTGTAAAAATCGGGCCATATTTCAAACCATGCGAATCGTCAGTGTGGAAACAGATGAATCGCTGTGGGGACCAGCCGAAAGCAGCCACCCACCCTAAAATAGGATTGCAAAATGCATTAAATAAAATTAAATTTTGCTCTGACAGATGTGCTTATGTTTCCACAGTATATATGTTCTTACTAGTTACAGCACCTGATTCCTTTAAAAACTAGACCCAACAGCGTTTTGCTTTATCTGATGTTTTCCGTCTCTTTTTCTAACAAAACCAGTTCGGTCCATCCTGAAGAAGCCCAAGCTTCGAGGTGCACAGAGCAACGTGCACTTTGACCAGGTGATAGTGTTCAGTTTCCCACGCTGCCAGGGCTTCACCAGTGTGCCCAGCCGTGGAGGTGCCACTCTGGGTATGGTGCGTAGACACAGTGCCCTCCAGAGGTACACAGTGGCAGAGCATGCACTGGAACGACGGCACAGGCGCAGACAGAGGCTCCAAGAAAGACTGAGAGAAGAGAGAAAAGAGACTCCAAAACACAAAGTAAGTGCCCTTGTTTTTTTCATTTCTGTGTTTTGCCTGTGTATGCGACACGTTTCTTACATTATCTGGTGTTTTGTTTCCAGTTGATCTCCCATGGGGCCACTGCCCAGCAGGAAGCACACAGGCTAACTGTAGATCAAGTCACAAATAAAGACGCTGACATCCACTTCAGTGATGCTGAGCTGGATTATGGGAGTGTCCTTCAGCCATACTCCTCCAAACAGCGGCAGGCGCTCCTCCAGGCAGCGGGGGTGAAGCGCATCGACAGAGAAGAGAAGAAGCAGCTTCATGCCCTGCGACTCTCCAGAGAGGCCTGTGGATGTGACTGCCAAGGCTTTTGTGAGCCAGAGACCTGCGCATGTAGCCTGGCAGGCATCAAATGCCAGGTATGACTCTCATTCATATGCATAATTACTTCAACCTGAGCACACTGCACATCATACAGAACAGCTGATTATAAACTTGATTTGACCATTCCTGGTTTGATATGTGATGATATGATATCTGAACATGAATAGTAGTTTGGGCTGCTGAAGCATCTCATATGTATATTGCATGTTGAAGGCGTGTTTAATGAAGAATGTAAAGTAGCGTTGATTTTTGTTGCTTAGTGGATGGCAACATAAGGGGTGTTACCATATCATTTACATTGTGGTCAGTATCTCTCTGTTATAATAAATAGTGTATGGGTGAATTACACCACCACTACAACTGCACCCTTGGCAGCACTAACCCCTGCAAGTTCAATGAACGCATCACAGCAGAAGAGAGAGGAACCTGGCTGCAGATGGTTTTATCGTTAAGCTTAATCTTAGCCCAGAGTCCTAACACCTAAACCTGCTGGGGTTAGCAACGTCCGGCTATTATCAAGTACTTCCTGTTGAGGTTGGCGATCCACTATCTTGGGTACATCTCAAGTTTCTTAAATGAACGACTTCCAGGTCGAACAAGGGTCAAGGATATCCCGAGACTCTTAAATGTGCTCTGAGGAGCTATTTCTAAATCCAAAAATATACAGTCCTGTGTTTATATATTACTGAAACTATTTCTCAGTTGATAATCTTAATATTTCAGTACTGTGATATAAAATTCCTTTTTTTATTTTCTTGTTGCCTTACAAAAGCACATTGAAAGCCCCTGTACTGGAGTCAAATTCCTGGTGTGTTTAAACATACTAGTCCAGTAAATGTGATGCTGATTCTGATTCTGACTCTAATATACTGTAACTGAGGATTTTATTCATATCACCCACTCCAATGGGTGCCTTTATAAAAAGTATCCAATTGGGAACCTGATTTTTAGAAAACAAGAGTAAAAACTGTAAACAAATGAGAAACTTCAGCTGTAAATGTACAGAAACTTTTTCATTTATTTTACCTGCCTATGTCTTTCAGTAATTAAGATCACATCTTAGTGTCAGTAATCTGCATTGTATTCGAGTATCCACAGTGTTCAGTTTCTCTTTGTGCTTTCTTCCACACACAGATGGACCGTTTCAACTTCCCATGTGGCTGCACTAAGGACGGCTGTGGAAACACTCGCGGACGCGTTGAGTTTGACTCCAGACGTGTGCAGACCCATTACATCCACACTGTCATGAGACTTGGACTGGAGAAACAGATGCAAGATGAAGCGGTGAGCCAAGAAGACCAGTCAGGACTTCCAGAGGACCCTGTAGTGTATGAGGACCAAGATGAGGCTTGTGTGGCGCAGAATGCACAGGACAAGAGCTGCCCCTTTGGGTTCAGCGTGGAGGCAGACTGTCTTTCTCTCACAGTGCCCATCTCTCCTTCCTTCCATTTCATCCCAGAGCGGCTGGTAGTGGAGGACAACAGCTGCAGCAGCAACTTGACTGAATCCTCCTGCTCCTCCTCTGACTCTGATGCAGGACAATGCCTCACTGGGAGTCAGAATCTCCCTGAAGCTGATTTCCTTAGTATCTGTGACTCTGAAAATAATAACTACTCTAAATACAGTGAACTGAGCCACATAGGAGAACCACTGACACAGCACAGCGGAAACTCTGCCACTTACAGCACAACTACTGACAGTATGGGACCACTTACAGCCAACACATTCACAGACAGTATAAACAGGACCTCAGTGACAGATTATCTTGATGAGAATGCAAACCAAGCTAGAGACATCTTTGACAGTGATTCTCTTGAGGGTTTCCCCAGCACCCCCTCCCCCACTGTGGACTACTCTTCAGGCAGGTATATGGACCTGAGTCTGTCGTCTGACTCAGACCTGGAGTTCTTCGACAGTGACTACCCCTCTGGACCAGTGCACAGCTCTTTTAAAGGTCTCAGACATCCAGACAGCTTTTGCCATCTCCAGCTGTTCAGCTCTGTTAGTTTGCCACAGTATGAATCGAGTACCTACCTCCTGGAGTCTCTGATAGGCCTGACTGAACCAAGCCCAGAGCAAGTTTACTCAGTCACTGATAATCAGTCTTTATAGGTGATTCAGAGAACTCTTTTAACATAAAAGCTGTGTGAGAGAATTATATCTAAATAGCACAGCTTTTATGTATTTGTAAGTATATTCCAATGTACAAGAAGAATTGGTAAAGTATCTTTCCTTGTTGGTAATGGTAAATGGTCTTATACTTGTATAGCACCTTTCTATGCTTTTACAGCACACTCAAAGCGCTTTCACACATTATTCGGCCATTCACCCATTCGCACTCCCAAACCGGTGACATCACCGGGAGCAACTGGGGGTTCAGTGTCTTGCTCAAGGACACCTCGACATGTTGACTGGACAAGCTGGGAATCGAACCGCTAGGAAATGACCCGCTCTACCTCCTGAGGCACAGGATATTTTTATTGCCTAAAATGATTTGACAACATCCTTAAGTAATCTGTTATATGCTTTGTTTTTTTAATTTCATGAATCTATGATCTCTGACATCTTATTTAAATTCTTCTTATACCTTGGGCACAGAGAAGACTGGATTCTGATTAATGGATGATGTACAGTATTTTTACCACTGCAACCCTGTTTCCAGAAAAGTTGGGACTTGCTAATCATTTAAAATTTACATTTAATCGAAAATAGTATGAAGACAACTTATCAGATGTTACAAGTAAGATTTTTTTTTTTAAAGAAAATGCTCATTTTAAACTTGTTGCCAACAACATTTCAAAAAAGTTGGTACAGGCATGTTTACCTCTGTGTTGCTTCACCTCTTCTTTTAACAACACTGTAAGCTAGAGAACGGAGGACACTGAGGAGCTTTAGGTTTGAAAGCAAACTATTTTTCCACTCTTGCTTGATTCAGATTTTAGCTGCTCAACAGTTTGGAGCCTCTTTTGTCACATTTTTTCAAAATGTGACAAAGGAGCTGTTACCCAAATTTGTTGGGTAACAGCTATGGACTGCGGGCAGTCCAGTTTAGCAACCAGGTTATATGGTTCATCATTGATATTACCTTCACAGAGGTGTAAGTTACTCATGATATGTGCACTAATGCACGCCCATGCCATCACTGATCCTAGCTTTTGAACTGTGCGTGCATAACAAGCCAGATGTTTCCTCTCCTCTTTAGCTAAGAGTGCATGACATAAATTATTTCTAAAAAGAATTTCAAATTTTAGCTCATCAGACCACAGGACACTTACCACGTCCAGAGAAGATGGCAGCATGTTTGGGATTTGTTTATAATTGGTTTTCTATTTGCATAGAGTTTTCACTTGCATTTATGGATGCAGTGGCAAACCTTGTTCACTGACAGTTGTTTTCAAAGGTGTTTCTGAGCCCATGCTGTGATTTCCCAGTTAACCTCAGTAGTTATGAGGTGTTCACCATGTGTCCATTACACAACGTTTCCAGTCTATGTTTGCTTTGTTGTTTTTTGGTAAAATATACAGATTGTATTAATTTGGACATTAGATACTGTAATCTTGTACTTTTACCAAATGAATATGGGGTAAAAGTGATTTTCAAAGCATTTCATTCAGTTTTTATTTACAGTTTGCACAGTGTCCCAACTTTTTTGTAAACAGTTGTAATGGTAATGTTAACAAAGGTAGAAGCTATAAAGTGGTACCATTTCAAGACCATATTGCCCCAAAATATCAATAAAAACCTATATTTTGCTGGTTGCTGGCTGTGGTGTAAGCAGGATAATCCACTTTGTGGTTCCAGTCTCCAAGTTCAAAATAATTTTTTAATAACTTTCACTGTGGATTATTTCTTATGTGCTTAACAGAATGTTTAGAATATATCTGTAATGATGTAATGAAATAAAACATTTTTATTTATTTATTCACTGATATCACATTTCTTTAATGAGTGGTCAGTTTGTATTAATCTCATTTCTTAGGAATCAAATCAAATCAAATCAAATTTTATTTGTATAGCGCCAAATCACAACAAAAGTCATCTCAGGACACTTTACAAAGTAAGGTCTAGACCTTACTGTTATCAATATTATTACATAGGGAAAACCCAACTAATCCCCCTTGAGCAAGCACTTGGCGACAGTGGGGAGGAAAAACTCCCTTTAACGGAAGAAACCTCTGACAGACCCCGGCT